ATGGTTGTCACACCCTCATGCTGTCACACCATCATGCCGTAATAGTTCAGACACTCAACACTGGGGAGAGAGAAATGGGGACCAGCCAGGCACAAATGAGCTCGTGAGAGAGAAATGGGGACAAGCCAGGCACAAATGAACTTGCAAGAAAGGAATGGGGACCAGCCAGGCAAAATTAGCTCGTGAGAGAGGAATACGGACTAGCCAGGCTACAGTCCAGAAGAGGGACAAACCGCCTGCCCACAGTCCCGGGTGCCAGTGGCTGCGCCTGTGCCTGGGGCCCAGGAGAGGGACAAGCCACCTGCCCCGTGGTCCCAGGCACCAGCAGCTGGGGCTGCAGCCCGGGAGAGGGACAAGCCACCCGCCCTGCGGTTCTGGGTGCCAGCAGCTGCACCTGTGCCTACAGACCAGGAGAGGGACAAGCCGCACGCCCCGCAGTCCTGGGCACCAGCAGCTGGGGCTGTGGCCCAGGAGAGGAACGAGCCACCCGCCCTGCGGTCCTGGAAGCCAGTGCCTGTGGCTGCAGCCCGGGCGAAGCTGCCCACCTACAATCCCCTGTGGCTGCAGCCGGTGTGGGTGAAGCCAGCCCGGGTCCTGGGTGCCTGCGGCCTGCTAGAGGGAGGGGAGCCCGGGTCCCAGGTGCCTGTGACTGGCTAGAGGAGGGAATCCTGGGTCCTGGATGCAGGGATAGGCAGAGGTGGTTAGGGGCGATCAGGCCAGAAGGAGAGCAGTTAGGGGCAATCAGGCAGGCAGGCAGGCAGAGGTGGTTAGGGGTGATCAGGCAGGCAAGCAGTTAGTAGCCCATGGTCCCAGATTGCAGTTGGACATCCCCCAAAAGGTCCTGGATTGGAGAGGGTGCAGGCCGGGCTTAGGGGTCCCCTCACCCCGTGCACGAATTTCATGCACTGGGCCTCTAGTCTACACGAATAAAAGAGAAACATGGTAATTAGCGTACGACCGCTACCCTTTTCATTGGCTAATCAGTGAGTATATGCAAATTAACTGTCAGCCAAGATGGCGGCCGGCAGCCAGGCAGCTGGAAGCGAACAGGAGGCTTGCTTGCTTCAGTGAAGGAGGACTCCAACGTTCCCCGCCTGCCTTGCCGGCCTCTGAGCTGGCAGTTTGAAACTTTGTAACAAATATAGAAGCTAAACAAAACCCCAGAAACCAGCTTTCAGCCGCCGGGATCTCAGAGCTGGAGTTATACATTGTTTCGATTATAGAATGCAAACAAACCAGATACCAGCTTTCAGCAGCCGAGGCCTCAGAGCTAGAGCCAGAGCTAAAGCTGGCCCAGAATAAAAAAAAAAAAAGAAAGAAAGAAAAAAAAGGAGCGGTTGGGAGCTGCAGTCAATCGCCAGCCTGAAGGCAGCCCTCAGCCCCTCACCCAGACTGGACAGGCACCCCAGTGGGGACCCCCACCCTGAAGGGTGTGTGACCAGCTGCAAACAGCCATCAGCCCCTCACCCAGGCTGGCCAGGCACCCCAGTGGGGACCCCCACCCTGATCCAGGACACCCTTCAGGGCAAACCAGCCTGCCCCCAGGCCTCTATCCTATATAGTAAAAGGGTAATATGCCTCCCAGCACCAGGATCAGCGGAGCCATGAGGCCTCCTGGCACTGGATCAGCGTGATCCAGTGATGGTGTGACTGCCTTATCCGCCCTGCTCTGTGTGTGACAGGGGGCGGTGCCCTAACTCCCCTGTCGGCCCTTCTCTGTGAGTGACAGGGGGGAGCTCCCCAACCCCCTGATGGGCCCTGCTCTGTGCATGACAGGGGGCAGCGCCCAACCCCCTGATTGGCCCTGCTCTGTGCATGACAGGGTACGGAGCCCCAACCCCCCTGATGGGCCCTGCTCTGTGCATGACAGGGGGTGGCGCCACAACCTCCCCATCGACCCTGCCTTGAGTGTGACAGGGGGCGGTGCCCCAACCCCCCAATCGGCCCTACCCTGAGCATGACTGAGGGTGGCATCGCAACCTCCCAATCCGCCCTGCTCTGTGCATGACAGGGGGCGGCGCCCCCAACTCCCCAATCAGCCCTGCTCTGAGCCCGACCAGGGGCTGCACCTAGGGATTGGGCCTGCCCTCTGCCACCCAGACCAGGGGCTGCACCTAGGGATTGGGCCTGCCCTCTGCCACCCAGGAGCAGGCCTAAGCCAGCAGGTCGTTATCTCCTGAGGGGTCCCAGACTGTGAGAGGGCACAGGCCGGGCTGAGGGACCCCCCCTCCCACCCCGAGTGCACAAATTTTTGTGCACCGGGCCTCTAGTACTATATATAAGAGAGATACTTCAAATGCAGTGATTGAAAAAAGTTAAAAATAAAGAGTTGGACAAAGCTTTACCAAGCAAATGAAGACAATAAGGATACCGGAGTTGTAACTCTAATAACAGACAAAGTAGATGTCCAGTCCCTACCCCCTCCAAAAAATAAATGTATCAGAAAAGGACACTTCATAAAAGTACCACATTCCATAATGAAGGTATGATAGTTCAGAATATCTATGCAACACTTTGTTTTACACTAAATAATACAAAATTTGTAGGAGATACAAGAAAAAAAGTACAAAAAATAGATTTTAAAACACCATTCGTAGTGAAGCAGGTCAAGTGGACAAAAATTAAGCATCAATATAAAAGAGCTAAATAAAATTTAAAAGAAATCTTTTAGATATATACACACTATACATTGAGAAGAAAGAATATATCTTTTTAAGTGCACATGAACTAGTCACAGAAATTGATCATGTAGTAAAGTACAAAGAGCACATCAGTAGTTTCCATTAAATAGAAATATTATAAACATATTCTCTAATCACAATGCAATAAAACTAGAAATTAAAAATGAAACCAAAACACAAAAACAAACCTTCTCAGTGGAGGGGTGAGATAGAAAGCACATAAGAGAGAGTGACACTTTGAGTATTACTTTTACAAAGTTTTGGCTTTTGAAGGCATATCAACCTACAAAGTCAAAAATTAAATCAAATCAAGGAAAATACCAGGAAGAGAAAAAATGAAAACAAACTGAAACAAAGAAATCTAATTATATTTCAAATATATATACCATATCCACAGAGAAAGAAAAAAAGTAATTGAGTAATTTATTAAACCAACCAGAGGCCCAGTGCATGAAATTCATGGACTGGGGGGAGGGGTGTCCCTCAGCCCAGCCTGCACTCTCTCCAATCTGGGACCCCTCGGGGGATGTCTGACTGCTGGTTTAGGCCCGATATCTGTGCGGGATCGGGCCTAAATCGGCAGTCGGACATCCCTCTCGCAATCCTTCTCACCTCCCTCTCATAAACCGGCAGTAGGACATTCCTCTCACAATCCCTCTCATAATCCCTCTTACATCCCTCTCACAAACCAGCAGTCGGACATCCCTCTCACAATCCTTCTCACAATCCCTCTCACAAACTGGCAGTCGGACATCCCTCCCCCAACCGCTCCCCTGCCTGCCTGCCTAATTGCCCCTAACCGCTTTTGCCTGCCAGCCTGATCACCCCCTTACCACTCCCCTGCCAGCCTGATTGACGCCTAACTGCTCCCCTGCTGGCCCAGTCGCCCCTAACTGCCCTCCCCTGCCAGCCTGGTTGCCCTCAACTGCCCTCCCTGCAGGCCTGGTCCCCCCCAACTGCTCTCTCCTGCAGGCCTGATCGCCCCCAAATGCCCTCCCCTGAAGTCCTGGTCACCCCTAACTGCCCTCCCCTGCAGGCCTGATTGCCCACAACTGCCCTCCCCTGCTGGCCATCTTGTGACCACATGGGGCGGCCATCTTGTGCGAGGGTGTGACAGTCAATTTGCATATCACCACTTTATTATATAGGATATTTAACTATATGCCTGGAAGACTTAGGCCTTAAGACATATGGGGATAGGAAGGAAGAGTTGCAAACAGATCCTGAACTTTAAAATCCTCAACCCAGGATATTTTATTCCTTTTTTTTTTTTTTTTTGAGAAAGTGGAGGAGAGGGAGAGGGAGAAGACAGAAACATTGATGTGACAGAGACACATCTATTGGTTGCCTTCTGCATGTGGGGGCTGGGGATCAAGCCTGCAACCAAGATACGTGCCCTTGACTGAAAATCAAACCTGCCAGCCTTCTATCTCTGAGTCAATGCTCTAACCATTGAGCAACCAGCCAGGGCCAGATCCCGAACTTTTAAAAAATGTTGGTCTGCTTATTGTGGTAACATAGGTGAGAAATTTTGAAACATTTTTTATGCATTCTGGGATTAAAGAAAGGAGTAACTATGCTGATATGGAGTAAATGTGTTGATGAGCCAGGGTACCCACTGTAGAAGAAAGGACTTACAAATACAGAATGGAAGAAGGCAAGGTGAGGATGGTTTGGAACTTGAATTATTGTTTTTTTGGAAAAATGTGGGTATGGAGAGAGAGGGAGCATGTGCAAGAGTGTGAATGTGTGAGACAGCACATGTATTGTCTCAAACACATAAAAAGCAAATTTGGTAAAATTTTAACAATAGAGAATATGGGTAAATGGTATACAGATGTCCATTGTATTATTTTATTTTTATTTTCATTACTGCTTGTAAATTTGAAATTATTTCCAAATAAAAATGTTATTATAAATTTGTGACATATAGAAATGTATCTAAAATTTTACCTCTAATATTATTACTTTCATAAAGCATTCACATTTAGGGTGGTATAAAAATAAACCAATTTTTTTAATCAAAGTTAAATTATTTAATTAATTTATCAATTAAAATTAATACAAATTGATGTAGAAATAACAAGAAAATCAGATTTAAAATATATAATTATGTAATCAGGTAAAATAAAGATCTTTCACTTTAGAATATTTATATAAAACTAATAGTCAAAATACTTTCTTTTTATGTGAACATAAGTAATCATGTTTCAATAGCACTATTCCTGACAGACTGTTACTGAGTTTCCTTACATCCTCAAATAGTCACTGTATATATTGCTATATGGTCCCCAGAGAATGGACCCTTAAACCACTCACTCTTCTAGAGATCGATCCAGGCCTCGGTCAGGAGATCGGTGGTGAGCACGTTCCGGTGAATGACATTTTGTATTTGGCTTTAGTGTAGAACTCAAATGATAAGCATTACTTGAATAATTCTGGCGGCGAAGTTCTTGCACAGCCCTATCCCTAAAGCAAAATGTTTAAAATAGAATTTCTTAAACTTTATATCCAGTGGCATTATTAATCCAGTGGCAAAACTGAAGTTCAATTCACATTTTAAAACCTAGCCATCATGGAATAACCAGAATCTGTTGTTATCTAAGAAAGAATGCTCCCAGCCTAAATACTGGATAGAGACCAACTTACCTTTCAAAGCGCTCGGTCCCTAGCTGTCTTTTGGTGATGTCTAAATCAGCTTCCAGTTGCGTGACGACATTCCTGAACTGGGCCACATCTCTACTCTGGATGGCCCTGTGTAAAAGAATGTAAGAGAGTTGATTAGACTTTTAAAAGTCTAGAACTTCTGAACCATGTTGGCAATGTTCTCAGCTGGATCCAAGCCAAACTGTGATCTTTATGGACGTATATGCCAATTTTAGGTGTAGTAAATGTACAAAGTAGCCTACTGGAAAAGCTTAAGGTATGCCAATCACACTCAATTAGTTAAACTTTCTCTGTGTCAGTTTCTTTGTGTTTACATGAAGTAATATTATCTATTATCAATCTCTATTACCTATTTACTGCACATCTATATATATATATATATATATATATATATATATATATATATATATATAAAAGTTTAAGCGACTGGCCGACCAGCCAACCAACCAGTGGCTATGGTGCGCACTGACAACCAGGGGGTAGATGCTCAAAGCAGGAGCTGTTGAGTACAGTGACTTGGCAGCTGCGGTTCTTGGGTGATATACCTGGACCATAGAGGAGGGAGCCCAATTCTGGGGTGCGTCACCTGTGAACCGCCCTCTCACAATCTAAGACCCCTCAGAGGATGTCAGAGAGCTGGTTTCCGCCCGATCCTCACAGGCCAAGCCGGCGGACCCCACCAGTGCATGAATCCGTGCACCGGACCTCTAGCCCATTGGCTCCCTACTTCGGGTCTGGCTCCCCACTGGGCCTCTAGCCCATTGCAGAGGTCGTGGGTCTGGCCCTTACAGTAACTTTTTGACTCAATTAGCTAAATGATGAGATGTGCAGGGCTTACTAGCTGTGGCCCCCGACGTCTGGTGCCCACACCGGCCCATGTGCTTAATATCGATTTCCAGTGGAGGCAGTGAATTTTCCCACTACCATTCTCAGCTGGGAAACTGGCTGCAGCTTCCCTCCTTCTAGGCGGACAGTAGCGCCAGCAGGCAACCTCCGAGGAGGGAAGGAGGCAAAGGAGCAGCTCAGTTGGGAAGAAGGAGGTTCCCACCCCCACAGGACTCCACCTGGGCGGAAGGGCCAGGGCAGGAGCCTGACATTGAGCAAGGTCCTGCCCTAGGCTGACTAGATTCCACGCTAAGTAAATCCTGTTTGTTAAATAATTGCATTTTACAGCCAAATGCCCACAAGTTGTCAGTTACCACCAAACTTAGAGTAAAGTGAGATGAAAGAAGCGAGACTGATACAGAGAGAAAGTGACATAATATTGGGAGAAGAGAAGAGGGAGTCCGATTCTGGGGTGTGTCACCTGAAAACTGCCCTCTTGCAATCCGGGACCCATGGGGGATGTCAGAGAGTCGGTTTTGGCTGATCCCCACAGGCCAGGCCGAGGAACCCCACCAGTGCACGGATCTGTGCACTGGGCATCTAGTTATTTTTATAGAAGTACTTTAAAGTATTGTACTCTTGAGTAATGGTATAACCAAATAATCAAAACTGGAATTCACTAGCACCATGATTCACATGGTCTTTTATATATTAGATGAACCAAGTGCTTTATGTACACTCAGAATTAAATCTGATATTCCCACACACACTCTCCTCCATTTAACAGGCTCTCCTTTAGGGCTAATCCATGCCACAAACCCCCATAACACGGCGCACTGTCATCAGGAAGATAACGACGGGAGACGAATGCTGCTTGTGCGGAGCGCTCTACCCTCTCTGCTTGTTCCCAGGACAGCACTCTAGAACACACAAGTTGATCGTGTTTACCAGGGTAAGGGACAGTACTGACCAGCCAGTCTAAAACAGAAGGTAGTCTTTAAGGGTTACCTTCTTAAGAGATTTCCACCTCTGGCTTGAGAAAGTGACCTGGCAGAACCGGTTAAAGGTAGCACAACAGCCCTGCGGCAGTGACCAAGAAGGACTCAGCAACAGCTGCCATAACCTGGAAACAGTTTCTGAAGGAACTGGCTTTGGCTTTGCAGGTTGGGCTCAGTCAGGGGCTCCTGTGAGTGGCTGATTCCTGAGACCGTGATTCCTGACCCTCCCCAGGCCCCAAGCTCAGAAAGGAGGGCAGAGTTGAGGCTGGATGAAAAAGTGTTATAGAGGAGACAGGTAAGAACAGAGGCTTGGGGCCCCCATGCCTCTGTTTTTGGTGAGAGGTGACCAAGTTTACAATAGAACATTCACTCTCCAGGCAGGCATTTCCACCCACCCTTCCAGCAGGGTCATGGAATAAGCTGCTAATGGTGCTGGGATGCTGGAAGAAGCAGCCACAATCATGCTCTAAGGAAAGTCTTCAGTATTCTGTGAATGCAGGAGTCCTTGCAAGTACCTAGTGTGTACAATTATAGGTACACAAGCAAATACAGTGTGACAAATGGAAAGATTAGGGAGCAACACCACGTGGGTTCATATATAGAAAAATTCTTCTGGCTTCAGAAGTGTATATTTTTCTAATCTGGTTATAATATTTCCTAAAGACAATATTTTAGACCAGACATCTTATTATACCCAAAGCTCTATTGGAAACAATTAACACAATGGTTAAACTTAAATTTAAATCAATTTAGCTAAACATATAATAGAAACTAGCACTAAATTTTTGGCAAATCACAATATTTCTGGTGCTCATTTTAATTAATGGCTAATTATGGATGCTTAAATTATATAAATTCCAGCTTTAAAATTCTACTAACCAATAAAGTATCAAAAATTTAAGGAATATGACTTTGTTATTATACTGCTAACAAACTCACATTTTATTTTCTGCCAAACACAGGTGTTCTTTAAGCAGCTGAATTTCAGATTCTTTTTCTTGAAGCGCTATCTGAGACTGATATTCTTTGTCCCGATTGGCCACCAGCAAAGCTTCTAGATTCTGCATGGAGATTCTCTCATTTGTCATCTGACTTCTGAGGAGTTCTATTTCAGAACGAGCAGAATCTAATTCATTCTCCATCTGTACAACAATAGGAAGATATCTATACTTATTCCCATTCATCACTTAACTGATAGATTATCAAAGACTTATAAAATTTCTGTATTATGTAATAAGAACCCCTTTAATTTCTTTCTTTTTCAAAATCCTCAACTGATATGTTTTTATTGACTTTAGAGAGACAAATGTGAGAAAATGAGAGAGAGATGAACTTTGATGTGAGAGTGAAACATTGATCAGTTGCCTCCCATTTGCGCCCCCACAGGGAACAAACCTGCAACCTAGGTATGTGCCCTGACTAGGAATCAAACCCACAACCTTTTGGTGTATGGGATGATGCTCCAACCACCTGATCCACCTGGCCAGGGCCCCTTTAATTTCTTAAATAGAAATATTGTCCTCCTTCTTACCAAATACACATACACACACAGAGTTTCATTTCTTCCAACTTTTTGATCATATCAGAAAATTCATTAAGTAATGAGTTATTTACCTCAAACTGCAAACAATTTCCATTTCCAGCTTTGATATTTATTTACATATTTCTGCAAGACTGACATGGTGATACCTGTGACCACTGCTTTTACTCTGTTAGGTGAGTTACAAACATCCAACTACATTGTGGAGTGTTATTGCACTCCATTGTTAAGGAAGACAAGGAGTCATTACACATGCCCTCCCTTGCATAAACCCTTGGAAAGCTTCATTTTTTTGAAGGTTATCTTGAACCTGAAATACACTGTGTAAGCCAAATGTTTCTCCAAAAGAAAGAAAACCAGACATTACTATTTAGTAAAAAAAGTATTCCTAAAATTATCTCATAATACACATTACAATAAATTATATATGCATTTAAAAAGTTAAATGTGGCCCTAGCCAGTTTTGCTAGGTGGATAGACCGTCGGCCTGTGGACTGAAGGGTCCCAGGTTTGATTCCAATCAAGCACACATGCCTAGGTTGCAGGCTCAATCCCCAGTAGGGGTTGTGCAGGAGGCAGCCAATCAATGATTCTCTCTTATCATTGATGTTTTAATCTCTCTCTCCATCTCCCTTCCTCTCTGTGAAATCAATAAAAATATATTTAAAAAACTAAAAAATGAGATTAAAGGGGGAGGGGGAGGCAGCTGGGGGAAGAACTTCCTGAACTATATACAATTAAAAAGTGATGTCTGACCAAACAAAAACATATTGATAGTCTATATAAAGCTTAAAATTTACAAGAAAACAACAGGAAGAAAATAAACTCAGTAAATAAAATAAAGAGTTAACATCTTACTAATATAAGAAACTCATGCAAATTGAGAAATGTGAACAGAAACATATAAAATATATCTAATTATTAAACATAAGGGGAAATAACCTTATGAATAATCAAAGAAATTTAAGTTAAAACAAAATGCTATTTCTAGTTTCTTAACCTTGACAGTAGCGACCTTTTGGGTTGGATGAGTACGTGGCGTAGGGAGCTGCCTATGCCTCACAGTGTGCTTACAGCACCCCTGACCTCTACTAGAGGCCAGTGGCATCCCCCACCCCAGCAGTGACAACCACAAGTGTCTCCAGACATTGCTGGATGTCCAGGGGGAGCAAAATCTCTGATCCAGTTTAACAAATTGGTAAATTTCTTAGTGTGTGTTGATTAACATTAAAATAGGCAATAGTAATTTCATATACCTTGCAGGAATACAAAATGGAACATCACTTTTTTTGACAACAGCTTTATTGAAATATAATTCACATACCATATATAACTCACACATTTAAAAGGTACAATTCAATTTTTTTAGTATATTAAAAGAGTTTTGCAATCATATCATAACTAGAGGCCCAGTGCACAAAAATTTGTGCACTTGGGGGGGGGGGCAGTCCCTCAGCCCGGCCTGTGCCCTCTTGCAGTCTGGGACCCCTCGGGGGATGACCACCTGCTGGCTTAGGCCCGCTCTCCAGGGGATTGGGCCTAACCTGGCAATCAGACATCCCTCTGGCAGCCCGGGAGCCCTCGGGGGAGGTCCACTTGCCAGCGGGGAGCAGGCCTAAGCTGCAGTCGGACATCCTTAGCGCTGCTGAGGAGGCGGGAGAGGCTCCCACCACCACCGCTGTACTGGCAGCCATCAGCCT